AATAAAAGGAGATTCAAAAAATGCCACAGAATAAACATCACTTGAGGAAATTTACCAAGACATGCTGCTGAAAGTGAAGTTGACAAGAACTGATTTCCATGCTTTCAAACTCAAAATTTACCAGGTTTACAAGCACACATCACTGTTTTCCACAAATGTCCGTTAGTTTCTCCTTTCTTATTCTGATTGTACTAAAAATAATGTAGACATTATTAAGGAGTATATTATTTTAACAAAACAAAAGGAGAGGATGTGACAAGAGCAGCAAGAGATGTGTACAGTAAAGAGATTCTTTCCCACATGATCAGAAACAGAGGACAGTTGTTAATCCAACAAATGCATGGAACCATCAAACAATGTGTATGAGTTCCTTAGGGCTGCTAAAACAAATTACCACTAGCGGGGTATGACACACAACAACAGAACTTTTTGTCTCACAGTTCTTGATGCAAGAAGTCCAAAACCAAGATGTCACAGGGTTAGTTCCTTCTGGGCACTCTCAGGGAGAATCAGTCCCATGCTTCTTCCTAACTTCTGGTGGTTGCTAGCAATCCTTGGTGCTCCTGGGCTCCTAGGTGCATCACTCTAATTTCTGCCTCCGTCTTCACATGGCCATCTTCCCTCTGTGTGTCTGAATCTGTTTCTCATGGCTTTCTTAGAAGGACGACAATTATATTGAACCCAGGGTCCATCCTAATCCAGGATAACTTCATCTTATCTTAATTAAATACATCTGTAAAGACTCTATTTCCAATTAAGAATATGTTCTGAGGCTCTAGATGGACATGAATTTTGGGAGGCCACTATTCAACCCAGTACATAAAGATATGCTCACAATTTAAATTTGTACATAATCATTCCTATCTCCTGTAACTATGCAGGGATACACAGGGTTCCCAAACCACTGTCTGCTGAATAAGGAACCAAGAGCCTCTGATGTAGGACCAAAGCTTTTCCTTGGAGTGTGGCTCTGCTGAATAATGTTCTCTCTCTCACACAAACCCCAGACACAGTTCCTTATAATTCCTTCCTCCAGTTCCCACATCCTTTCAGATTCTCACCCACATTAAATGCAACATCAATTATTTTTTAATATACTTGGTGGCTTTCCAAAAGACCCAACCTAGATTTAGAGAAACCACTCTCTCTCCTTTCACATCCATATATGAATAATCATATATGAATAATCAGCGAATATATAAATTGTGATAGTTAATTTTATGTATCAACTTGACTGGGTTAAGGAATGCCCAGATAGCTGGTGGAACATTATTTCTGGGTATGTCTTTGAGGATGTTTCTAGAAGAAATTGGCATTTAAATCAGTAGTCTGAGTAAGGAAGATCCACCCTCACCAATGTGGGCATCATCCAACCTGTGGAGGGCCCAGATAAAACAAAAAGGCAGAGGGAGGGTGAATGTTCTCTCTCCTTGAGGCAGAATATCCATCTCCTCCTCTTGGGTATCAGAACTCCTGGTTTTCAGGCCTTCAGACTCTGGGACTTATACAAGAGGCCTCCCTGATTCTCAGGCCTTCAGCCTCAGACTGGGAGTTACACCGCCAGCTCCTCTGATTCTCAGGCCTTCAGACTCAGACTGAATGACACCATCAACTTTCCTAGATCTTGCATACAGGAGATATGGAGAACTTCTCGGCCTCCATAATCAGTGAACCAGTCCCCTCATATCTGCATTCCATTGGCTCAGTTTCTTTGGAAAAGCCTGACCCTAATGTACAGGTACAACTGGAACAAACAAGTTTGGGAATAAATACCTGTGACACTAGCTAAGCATACAACATAATTGATAAGGAATGTCCCCATGGCCACCAACAGCAAACACTCCATGCACCAGGGACAAGATAAGCATGATTGACAGGCATGGTAGCATTAGCCAGTGAGTGCCAGATGAAAGGCCTCCTGCTACCCAAGGTCCAAATGCATGGCTCTAGGGGAAGATACAGGGGAGAAAAGGAATGGCAATCAGGGAGGCTCTGTAAAGAAGTGATCTTTGAGCTAGGTTTTAAAAACTGAAGATTTCCAAATTAACAAAGATGAAAAAGGACTTTCTAATCAGGGGAATGGGCAAGGCATAGGCACATAGGCATGAACTAACCAAGCATGTATGTGAACCCATAACCTTTCCTGCATTGCACAACGGGAGTAGGAGATGGCAGGAAATGAGTGGAGAGTTTGGCAGGTCCAGAGCGTATTTTAGAACCTCGTTCTGATTGGTCTAGAGAGCACAGAGTGAAGATAGGGCAGAGTGGAATAAAGGATAGCCAGTCTGAAAGGTGTTGCAGACTTGTGACAGTCCACGGTGATGGCAGTGGGCATGAAGAGCAGCGGATGGATTCTAGCAGCAGCCAGGTAGCTGGAGTGAAAAGACCTAGTAGCAGAAGTGGGTGGTAAGGGAGAGAGGGGTGGCTCTCTGGGACCTCCACAGGCACCGGTCTCATATTTCTGTACTCTTGCAAAGCCATTCTCTCTGCCTGAAATAGCCTTCCTCCTGCCTAGAATATAGAATACACAGTGTCTCTAGCACCTGGCATCGTGCCTGGCATACTGGGGATTCAAAAATCGTTGCGGAAATGAATGAATGAACATTTCCTACTTTAAAAAGAGTAGATAAGATACATGAGAAACAGATAATAATGTACATTGGGCTAAAGTAAAAGTTTATTGTTTAATATCCCAAACAATATGGCTAGAGAGGCTATTCAATAGTAAGCATGAGTCTCCTGAAAACACTGAAAAAAAGACTGACAAATACTAGAATATTTAACAGGCTTATTTATTTATTTACTTATTTATCTATTTGCTTATTTATTTATTTATGAGTTGGAGTCTCACTCTCGTCCAGGCTAGAGTGCAGAGGCACTATGGATGGAGGATCTTATGGCTCACCACAGTCTCAAACTCCTGGGCTCAGGCGATTCTTCCGTCTCAGCCTCCCAAGTAGCTGGAGACTACAGGTAAGCCCCACCATTCCCAGATAATTTTTTTATTTATTGTAGAGACAATAAATAAAGTGAACACTAATGTAGAGCTGTTCCTGGTGACATGTCTCACCACGTTGTTCAGGCTGGTCTTAAACGCCTGGGTTCAGGCAATCCTCTTGCCCCACCTCCCAAAGTTCTGAAATTACAGGCATGAGCCACTGTGCCCAGCTAATTTTTTTGACTGTTTTGTAGAGACGAGGTCTCACTATGTTGTTCAGGCTGGTCTTGATCTCCAGGGCTCGAGCATTCCTCTTGCACTGGCCTCCCAGAGTGCTGGGAGTACAGGTATAAACCACTGCACCCAGCCCTGAGCAGCCAAGGACTCTACTGAGTGGTACGGTGAAACCAAAAAATGAAGTTAGTTAAACACTATGGGAGTTACCATCCTTATTTAAAGACTCCTTTTAACCCTGAATTGTACCCCACATCTTTAAAATAAAGTAAAATAAAAAGATTCTTTTGAATACTATAATTTCCTGGTTACTTTATTATCTTTGTTGCTCTCATGTTTTCCATATTTGACTAGCTATACATATCATTATTAGGTTTGTAAACTTATTTCAGAAAAGTCAAGAAAGTGTGCTCCACAATGTGTGGGAGGGAACACAGCTGAAAGAAAAATAGGTAAAATCTCAGAGGCCTGAGGATAAGAACTGATGCGTGTAAAACCAGTCTGAGACCAAACCATGGTCGTGAAGATTAAAATGCAATAGTCCCTGCGTACCAAAACAAAAGTCTTTTGCCTTTCTGAGCTCTTTCATGGTGAGACAGTTTAGTCACACAACTAGTAAAGCTCACAGAAATGAGCTGGGAACTGTCACCCCCTCGTTTCACCATCTAATCTCCAAAAACTCTCCAGATGAGATGCTATTCAACGTGAGGGGAGAACTTGGATTCTTCCTGCCCTTAGGCCTGCAGAGAACTGAACGAAACTCTAAGGAAGTAGTGTGGATAACAGACACGTCACCAGGAACAGCTCTGCCTTAGCATTCATTGCACAAGATTCACAAAAAGTTGTTCCTGAACTAACTTCAACAGGACATATAATTCTCACTGATCCACCCATAGTCTTTATCAGGTGACCAATCAGGAGGGGTGACCCACTAGGTTAGGGCTGTGCTGATAGACAAAATTTTTGCAACTCATAGGAGGACCCTTGCTGCACCAGGCAGGACCTTCTAGTTGCAGGGGGTCAAGGGGGCCTGAAAGGAGGGGCTCGGAATAGCCATGAACACTCAAAGGGGTCAGAGTAGGATGGGAAAATGTATCAGCTAGCATGGAAGAATGCCTGTACTACTAACTAGTAAGGAATGAATACCAATCTGTGTAAGGGCCTCAGAATAGATGTTGACAAATTTTCCTGTCAAGAACCAAATATTTGGCTGGGCTTGGTGGCTCAGCCTGTAATCTCAGCACTTTGGGAAGCTGAGGCAAGTGGACTGCCTGAGCCCGTGGGTTCAAGACCAGCCCAGCAACTTGGTGAGACCTCGTCTCTAAATCAAAAATTAGCCAGCCGTGGTAGCACATGCCTGTAGTTCCAGCTACTTGGAAGGCTGAGGTGGAAGGATCGCCTGAACATGGCAGGTCGACACTGTGGTGGTCTTGAGTGTGCCACTGCACTCAAGCCTGGGTGACGGAGTGAGACTCTAACTCAAAAAAAAAAAAAAAAGAACCAAATATTCTAGGCTTTGCCAAATGCAGTACAAGAGCAGCCACAGACAAAACAAGTACCTGGCTATATTCCAACATAACTACTATGTGTCAAAGAATAAGTGGCAGAATAGAGGTGGCCCACAGGCTGCAGTTTGTGATCCCTGCCTCACAGCAGAGCTAACAAGTCCTACAGAACAATCGCATCTTCAGCCATTGTGATTCACTCACAGGTGTCTTACCAACTGATTTAACCAGCCATTGGTGGCTCCTATGTGCACACCTCATGTTCACAAATGCCAAGAGTGAGTCAAAGTCAGCAGTCAATCTTCTCCCACTAAGATACTCACCCAGAAAAATCCGTAGTGAGAATTCCATAGTGGAAGATGTATATGCGGCTGATGTGGCATATTGTAAGGTATCCCATTGCTACAAAAAAGGAGTATCTGAAACCAAAAACACCATGATCAGATTATTACACATGACAATAATGCACCTGATAAATGTTCTCTTCTCCCTCCCCACCCTCCACATGCAATTGGTCACAAAGTCCAGACATATCCCAGTCCACCTTCCCACTCACTGCTCTAGTCAGGCCCTTCATTTCCTCCTCCCTGACCACTGCAATAGGTCTCAGTCCTGGGAGCATCATGGAATCATCTGGGGAGCCACCCTCAGCTATTCTGGTTTAATTGGTACCAGCCACATCTGGCACAGTCAGGGCTGGGAACCATGGAACCGTAAGGTCTTGCACTCAAGATTCTTCTCTTCACAAACCATTATGTTTACATGATGAACTTCCTGAAATATAAATCACCATGCTGCTGACCATGTCTTTCTTAAACACTTTATTCTCTTTGCATCCCTACTCCTTGCTTTCTCTTCTTTTGTTTTTGAGACAGTGTCTTTCTCTGTCTCCCAGACTGGAGTGCAGAAGCACAATTATAGCTCACTGCAGTCTTGATCTCCTGGGCTCAAGCAGTCCTCCTTCCTCAGCCTCTTAAGTAGCTAGGGTGCCCGGCTAATTTTTTAATATATATGTAATATTAACATCCTCCACCTCTAAATATTAGAGGTGGAGGATCTTGCTATGTTGCCCGGGCTGGTCTTGATGTCCTGGCCTCAAGCGATCCTTCCACCTCAGCCTCCCAAAGTGCAGGGCTTACAGGCACGAGCCACCACACTCAGCCTCATTCTCCTATTTTCTTCCCACCTCCAAGTAATCCTTCCAAGGTTCCTTGTTCAGCTTATTTTCCTCCACTTACTCCTTAGGTGTCAGCATTCCCAAGCTCTGCTCAGGCCCTCCCTAACCCTGCCTCAGGTGTCAACTAGCACTCCCTGGCTTACTTCTGAGATGTCTTCCTGACCACAGAGTATACACTAGCAACACACACACAAGCCACACAAAGACACACATGTGCATATACAAATGCATGTCAATTAAAAACATTTATCAATTTGGAATTATAAATACATGTGATAAGCTGTGCAATAAAGGTTGATGACACCCCAAAATTCATGTGTTGAAATCCTAACCCCCAGTTCAAAGGTATTAGGAGGTGGGGTCTTTGGCAGGTGACTTGGAGGAGCCATCATGAATGGAATTAGTCGCCTTACAAAAGAGAGCCCAGAGAGCTCTCTCACTCTGCCATGTGAGGATACAAGACAATGGCATTCTGTAACCCAGAAAAGGATCTTCACCAGAACATGCAGGCGCCTTGTTCTTGGACTTTCCTCCACCAGAACTGAGAAATAAATTTCTGTTGTTTATAAGCCATCCAGTACTTTGCTACAGTAGACTAAGCTGAGACAGTCTGATTAACTATTATCTCTCTTAGCAAACTCTATCCTCCATGAAGGCAAAGACAGCCATGTGTATTTTTTTCACTGTATTCACCTACTATGTGTCAAATGACAAACTATGTAACTGCTATTCTATAGTCTCCAGTGGGTCCCACCCTCTAGTCAAATCAAAGCCCTTGAACGTTCGAGATGTCTTTCAGGATACTCCTTCTGCCTGCAACTCCTTCCTCCATCCTACAGTCTATCTGGAAACTGCCTAACTATCTGATAAGGCTCAGTTGTAAGGTCACCTCTTTGGTGTCATCTGGCTTGCTCTTTCCCCAACCATCTCACTTCATTTTCTGCTCTCCCGCCCCAGCACAATCCATGGCTCCACTATCCGTATCTCTCTAGTACTATATGCTAACATACAAAACTAAAATATTAAAATTATTTATGTATGAGGGGGGGACCCAAAACTAACAATTATTTTTTGGAGGGCGGGTTCCCCATAGTACAGGCTTCCCTGCTAGGTAAGTGCTCTAAAAATCCATCGGCATCAGTGTACCAGCTAGTGTTGTTGTCAGAGGCTGTGTTCAGCTTCAGTGATTTTTTTTTTTTTTTTTTTGGAGATTCTTTCAGTGCACTTGCGGATTTCATGATGGGTCATTTACAAGCACACCTGCCCATACCACACTGAGCGTTCAGCAGTTTTTGACCAAAAACAGCATGACTCCCGTGCCCTGCCCTTCCTACTCATCCAATCTTGCTCTGAGCGACTTTTTTTGTTTCCCTGGATGAAAAAAAAGTCATCAAAGGGAAACATTTTGCCAATGTGGAAGAGGTGAAACAAAAAACAGCTAAAGGACTAAAAGGCATCAAAATTGATGAGTCTGAAAATTGTTTTGAGCAGTAGAAAAAGCATCTTTATAGATGTATTGCATCAAATGAAGAGTATTCTGAAGGTGAGTGAAGTTTAAACATGTAAGAATAAATACATAATTTTTATAAATAAATCCCAGGTTTCTTTGGGTCCCCCCTCGTATGCGTCTGCTTTCTCAACTCATAGTAACTTTCGGCATCCCCAACCTTGACTTGACACATAAGACGGGTTCAATTACTATTGGTTGAAATGAACTGAAATGAATATACTACACATTTTAAATGGTGCAGGAGCCCATTAGATATAAACATCAACTCAGAAGATATAACTTTTAAATATGTACCATAAAACAGGAAAAATGTATATTCTAATACTAAATTATATTGAAATCACATATTCACATTAAAATAACGCATGGAGACCAGACTTATCTAAAGAATAGTAAAGTAGGAATAATAAACATCATTTGGTAGCAAGAAAATGATTTCTGTAAATTCGAAAGCACCATACAATTTTAAGCCCATTTTACTATTATTTGCAAGCAAAGCTGCTACTAAGAAAAAAAAAAATTCCTACTTTGGGTTCATCCTAAACCCTTTTCCAAACCAGGAATATGGTCAATGAAGCAAATAACTAAGAAAAAACAAACTCCCTTAAGAGTTGAAGCAGGTGTTGCCTCCCGACCTGTTGTTCCCTTTCTCCAGTTTCCTTTCCCTGCCAGTTCATGAAGTTCAAGGCAGAAATACAAAGCAGATTCAAAAGGTAGATTCTTCCAGAACCATTTAAAATGCAATCACACCTGCTGCTTCCCCTGTGTCGTCAATAGGAGTTAGACCCAAGCCTATCCCTGGCACAGAGGGTGAAGCAGGTTCGACTCAATTGTTGTAGTAAGATCTCACCTGTCAAGATGCCAGGTGCTAAGTCCCAATACAACAGGGCAATGCAGTTTTGCCCTGGCCAAACCTTAAAAAAAATCTGAGGAATCAAAGAGTGGTAGGGAGAACATGTATTCTGGAGACAGACCGATATGAGTTCAAAAGCAATCCATCATGGAAGAAGATAGAATAGTGGTTATTCTAGGAAGCAAAGGTGTGGTAGAGATTGGGACATGAGAAATGATGGGTGAACAGGTATGATGACTTTCTGAATTCATCAAACTATTTACTTATTTACTTTTCTGAGTGTTCATTTCATCTAAAAAAAAAAAAAATCTATAATTCACAGAATTTGTCCTGGAAAGAATATATCTGAAACAACACAATGAGATATTAAATAACATAGCAAATGATATACTAAATAATAGTTTGTGTATTAAAAAGGAAATATATTAAAAAGAGCTTGGCTCAGGACTTGGCACAAAGCAGGAACTTCAGAACTGATAGCTCCATCAACAAGTTCTCACACAACACCTTCTGTCCCAGCAGATACAAACTATCATCTGCTCCAGTTGGTTCAACTATGGTAAATGGATGCCTGCAACTTCTGCCCAACATAGTGACTTAGGCAGAAAACAGAGTTGGTACTCCTCAAGAATTCTTTAAACAAATCTTGAATTACAATCAGTCCTGAAATAGGTTAGTTCTTTACGGCAGCAAGTACTAATCCTCTCCTTCTCCTCCAAGGCACATAACAGAACTCTACTTACTGACTCAGTGAAGAGGAAAGCAATTCACAAAGAATCATAAAATCATTGTATGGAAGAGAACTTTCATCCAAACTACTACAAACCCCATGTTCTGTAGATGGGAAATCCAATGTACTGAGAAGCTACATGACTTGTCCAAACTCATGCTCCTGGGAGTACCCAGATTTCCTGACTCCAGCCTGGTGCTCTTTCTCTGAGTCAACAGGAAACAACTTGGGTATTTATTTAAAATTTATATTGAGTTCATCCACCAGGAACTGTGAACCAATCCCTACTTCTGCAATAATGGCAACCACATGAGCAAAGAAAGAAGGGAAGAATTGGTTCTGATATATTTTCATTTTGGTCATAGGGCACAGCAAACCACATCACTGTAGTGAAAAAGTCAAGGCCTGTCTATAAACCACTCGGCCCTGCCAAGTCAAGCATAGTTCACTCCTAGACACTGGAGTAGAACCCTGCAAACCTAAACACAGAGTAACTCGTTCTGACATGGGACAAGTTTGCATTTGAGCTTTGACCCTCTGAAAAATACACTGAACCCCATTAGCATCACACAAGTGTGGGGAGAGCTGACAAATGACAATTTAAAAATAGTTGGAAATGTGCTATACACATTTGAATATACAATGTTGCACCAGCATTATCATTAATGATTTATTTATTTGCTTCCAAAATCAAGTTTAGGAGAAGTCAAGCATTTTTAACCCTCACTTGAAAAAGAGGGGAAAAAAAGAAAAAAAGCTTTTATAAGCATTTTGTTGTTGTATGAAACATTTGCAAAACCCATTCTTTCCAAATTAGAAAAATGGATTTCCTATTTCCTTTCTGGAAGCAATGACACTATCTATTCACTTCAAGGAGGGCGCTGAGAAGAGAGATGATTAGAATTCAAATTTACAGAGCTCCTTTGGATACTACATTGAATGACTATAAAATTTAAAAGCATGCAAAAATATTTTCCCTTGGAAACTCAAAATGTATTATAAGATTATACAGTAAGAAGTTATATTTCAAGGATTTTAAGAAGAAAAAACTCTTGTGCTAATAGTCTTGTTAGCCAAAGAGCTTTCTGAAGTTGAAATAAGGCACCTGCTTTTCAGAAAAGTCGACAGAAAAGACATAAAAGGGCAAATGTCTTTTAAAAGTAATTCAGTCATTCACTCCATAATTATTTATTGAGCTCTCACTTGTGCCATGTATTGTTCAGGGCTTTGAGAATACAACAGTGAACAAGAGAGAGAAGTCTTTGTTTTCATAGAGCTTACACTGCAGTGTTCCTGAAAGGCACAGCTAATACTGAGTGTTCAGAAAGACCACGGGAAACAGAGACGATGCAAAACAGATAGCAGGTATTTTAGTTGATTATGCAAGCATGTAGTCTTCAAAGAAGATTAAATTACTTCTGTACCTTGAAACCAAAACATCATGTAAAAATATTTCTTCTTTGTAACAGTTTTATTGTACATATTTAAAGTATACAATTTAATAATTTTAACATGTGTATACACCCAGAAAACTATCACCAAATTCAAGAGAGTAGAGACTTCCATCAGCCCCTTATAGTCTACTTATGCTTCTTTATGATCCTTTCCACAGCTCCCTGTACCACCCTACCCCTAGTTAACTTCTGACCTTTAGTCCCTATTGATTAGCTTGCATTTTCTAGAACAGAATTTGTGCAGCTTCCTCCAGTCAGCATATTTATTTTGAGATTCACTCATGTCATTGTGTATATCAAGCTTTCATTATTTTTACTGCTGAGTAGTATTCTATTATGTTGGCCATTTGAACGGGTTCCAGTTTAGGGCTATCACAAACAAAGCTGCCTAATCCTGATATACTCTTTTTTACCCGAGGAACAATTTGAATTCCACCTTTGTCATAAAGTCTTCTCTGAAGAATCCCAGGCTTTAGGGCTCCCTATCCCTCCTTCTGAAATTTTAGATAAGCAAAGTTATAGCACCTGTGGAAAATGGGGAGGGTATAGCTTTATCCTGGAGATACATTTCAAAGATCACAAAACAACCTCACCTTGCATTTTTCATTCCCAGGGACTTACCTGTGAATATTGGACACACTTGCAGTGACCATGATTGCATAGCACATTAACACCAGCACAAAAAGATGCACGGAGTACCTTTAAGACATAACGGGGAGGAGCACTGAATATATTTCATACTGACATATCTTCTAGCCACTCATACTGTTACTCCACCTTCACCCTCTCCAAAATGCAGGCAATCAATTAACTTCATGTTTATGTAAGAGAAAATAAATCAAATATTTTTATTCAGTACAATTAAGGTACTATATCTTGAAATTACACCAGGAAGTCATGACATAGTTTGCCAACCAACTGCAGCACTAATAACATCAAGAAACTCATAAATACATATACTTTTTTCATAAATACAAGTGGGGTCCAGAGAGATGAGCTCTTTCTTCAGGATTTTATCTGTTTTAAGTTTTTAAGTACCCATACCAAAATTGGGCTTCCCAAGATATTAAGACTTCTACCTAGTGGCAGATTCAAAATACTCATCCTTTCTCAAATTTTTGTTGAAGGATTAGGGGCACAAATTTCCTGAAGATGTACTTCTCGTTGGTCCCTAAAACTTCTTCCCTAAGAAGTACTACTACTTCCAGGGTATTTGCACAGCTCACTCAGTAAAGCAAGGTACAATCTACTGGCTTTCTCTGTTAGAAAAGGACTAAGACCTGTGCTAAGACCATTGTTCTACTCTGACAAAATGCAGGACTAACATCAATGTCTCCAGTAGCAATGCAAGAAACACGCCAACGTCTATGATAGTTAGGAAAGGTTCCTCCTGGGAAAAGTTAAACCTTTCAGCATCCCATATACCTGTCTGGAGGGGATCTATAGAAGTCTAATTTTAAGAAAAAAATTCACTGCACTGACCTCCAGTGGAGAGCCAGCTCATTGGTTCCAATTTCTTACAGTAAATGGAGATTCAAGTAATGTTCCCATTATCTTACAGGTGTTGACAATATTGCAAAATTTTACAAAACCTATTTTATAATATGGTATTTTACAATACCATTTATTTCTTGCCTTCATGCAATACCAAGAACATTGCCACAAAACATCCAAGTGATCAGTATTAGAATGTATGAGGCTCATACTCACCAGCCAAAACAAAAGATGACAAAGTAGATGCCAAAGATGGTGGCAACCGCATGCCGGACATCAGAGCTAGTTTTACCAGGACTTAAGTAGATGCGAAACCAGAAAGCAGCAAACAAAGCAAAGAGCTGGCACGCCACAAAATTCACCTATGGGCGGGGGAGGAAACGAGAGAATTTTTAAAACTTTACTCTTTGGCTATGTGTGAATCTGTTCTCACTTTTGCAGATTTCCACATCAAGTTGCATCTCTGACTTGGATCTGTTTTTTCCTCAGTAGAGGATTTGTTTGGAAGAGAAAATAAATAAGAAAAAAGATAACGGTACCCTTGTGTGGCATAAAAGGTGGCAAACGCAACAGTTTTTTCAATTCTTTGAGACTGGTCAAGGATGCTTGCCACCCACCAGCAGGGGTCTTTTATTAAGAGCCTTGCCTGACTGTGAGTTCAGTTTGCTGGTCTCTTTCACCGGCCTCCAGCACGACCTCGAGTCAAAGAATATATTCTTTCAGAGATGCAAAGTTTGGCTGAAGAGCTCCCTTGCTTGGTACCTAGGAAATCAAATGCTTCTCCAAAGTGATCATCAGTTGTTTTCTGACTCTAATTTTCTTACTTTAAATTAGCACCAGGGAGAAGGGTAAGGAATGGGGGGAGGAAAAATCACCTACTGGGTACCATGTGCACAGGTGGGAGTGATGGGTACACTTAAAGTCCTAACTTCTTCGTCACTATTCAATGCAACCATGTAACCAAAAACTACCTGAACCCTCCTCAAGCTATGGAAATAAAGAAAATAAATAAAATTAGCACCGCATAAGCAAGAGAGTTCCAAAATTCAAGGTGTGACACTAGTCGCCAAAAGAGATACAGCCCTGATTTAAACATCCGATGCCAAATCTGTCCAATTATGCAAGGTAGACATCAACTATCCTTAGAAAAATCTCAGTGGTCACTCTCTCAAGAATATTTTGCCTAAAAGGAACATACAAGAATTCTCTGAAATCTACAGGGAAGATCAACTGATTTTTAGAAACACACACATAAACAATAAACACACATGTATCTTTGCAATTTGAATTTACCCAAATCAAATTCCAAATACACTAAGTGGTTTAATCATTCACTGAAACTAGAAAAATAATTTAAACACTTCAAATTATTCAAAATGAGAGCTTCAACACCAATTCCTATTAGAAGGCACTTAGTGGAAAAGAAATTGAAGATTTGAATAAACCTCCACTTCAGCGTCAGTGGATTTTCATGCTATAATAAACTGGCTGCTAATGAAATTCTTTAGGGCTGAACTGGGAGGTGGGGCTGGAGGGAGCAGACATCAATCAGCTCACTTGAGTTCACTGTTATCTTCCCTAAAAAACAAACAAACAAACAAAAAACAATACTCTGAACCCCTTATAACTCACAGAAAATATTACTTTCGGAGAATTTTTGTTTTAATTCTGTTTTTAAAATTGACTGTTTTGAGTCTTCCCTGTATTTGGAGACTGTACCTCACCAGCCTTTCCAAAAACCTGTTCTTGTTACTGCCCAGCTTCATTTTCTACAACTGAAGACAGAGAGGAAGTGACCTGTGGGCTTTTTCTGCATGATTTGGTCATCTCTTTTTATCTAGGCTAAATGAATAACCAACAAATGATCCACATACATGCAAAATATATACAGAAAAATCATCACCTTGGCAAAGTTCAAAACGTGAAGAAATTGGCAACTGGACAGTCAAAATGTTATGACCATCTCTTAGGTGACTGAATCACATGTTCTTTCAATCTCTCAGCCCGGGGACCAAACTGCAGCCACAGCAGAACTCAGGAGAGCAGCCAAGGGCAAATTTTCTCCACTATTTTCGGTTTGGCCAGTAACTACTGAGCATTTGCACATGAAGAATGATTCAAAGGATAGAGCAGTGGTTCTCAAGGATGTACGGGCAGCATCAGTATCACCTGGAAGCTTGTTGGAAATTCACATGCTAAGGCCCAACCTCAGACCTACTGAATTAGACATTTCCTGGGTAGAATCCAGCAATCTGTGTTCTAACCAGTCCCACAGGTGGTTGTGATGCACACACTGTGGAAAATCACTGGGACAGAAGAGAAAGAAAGTATGTTCCTTACCTTCAAGGAGCATATAATCTGACGAGGGAAAGAACACAAATAACATAAAAGTAATTATAAAGTAAAAATAACTTTGTATAAACTGGTGAAGTTTCTTTGCTTGACCAAACTTTAGTTAGGTTCTTGAACCTTCTATGCCTATCAGTGTACTTCCTTGCAAAATCCAGTTTTAGCAAGAATCCCATCTTCCATATCTGATTGTCCTTGATATTTCATCAGGTTTCTTATCCTCCACCATTCCCCAAGTGGTGTTTATCCACCCTGGCCTGTCTTTAGCAGGAATTCCATTAGGTCAGTTTAGCCAGAATCCCCCCTTATGCTGATGTTTACTCTTACCAATTTTCTATCCACTGCACCCAGCCTGCTCCCTGGCAATAAATTCTCACTTGCCGGTGTTATATCTGGAATTGAGCCCAGTTCTATTTGGAATCGATATGCCCTATTGCAATAGTTCTAAATAAAATCTGCTTTTTACTGCTTTTTACTACTGTCAGTTCTAATGACTTTTGGACAAAATTTATTACATTATGTGTCCAAAATAAATGACAGCAAGTTTCATGACCAAGGAGGGATGAGATTCTGACAGAAAATCTGTAAGATTGATGAAACAGGTAAAAATTGATGGGGATTAAGAATATTTAAAAATTCTGCTTTTACTGCTTCCTGGTTCCTAACCCCAACCCTTCTGTTTTAATGGGCCTGGCATCAGGGCTTTGCAAAGATTTTAGGTAATTCTAATATTCAGGCAAGATTTGGAACTTCTACTTGAGAAGTATCTATAGAGAGATATTCTGAGGCACCCAGGAGGAACTGGGCTTCCCTAGAATGAAGAAAAACACAAAGGCGGGATAAGGAGATTGAATTGTACAAGTTTTGGGGCAAGGATAAGACATTTAAGAGTGATTGAAGGTCTGGTGGTCATGACTCATTGGGCCTAGGCCTCCTCAGCCTCCAGATAGTCTCCTGAACTGGGTTGGTTTCCTTCAAAATGCCTCCAGATCTATTTCCAAGGAAAAGAGTGTCTCACTATGGGAAAACTACATCTGATCTGTTTATCCTAGTGAATGAAAAAGAGGAAGAGAAGACTCACTTGGTCATTGAAGCAAGCGGCCACTTTTCAGTCACCATAATATAATGTGTAGCTGAATGAATGTTCTAGATACAACACTAAGATGTCAGCTGGACAGCCTTGGACAATTCATAATTAATTCCCCTACACTGGTTGACTCTATATGTCAGATACTGGGGACAGGGATCAAGACACCGTCTCTACCCTCACGTCAACAAGAGGTGACTTAAATGTTCTGGGACTTAAATATCTTTATTTGCAAAATGTGTGCTTTGGGAGAACTAGTGTTGGACGTCTGTTCTTGGCTCTAATCGCCTGATTCTATATCTAACCAATGTTTTTAAAAAAATTAATGAAGAGGCTATTAGACTGAGATATCTCAAGCATCAGCAAGCCAAAATCCAACTCAGTCAACTGTCATAACTTAAGAAAACAGCCTTAACAAATCAGAAACCACCAACTACCTCTATCTACAGGCTTTACCAACCAGAAACCACCAACTAAACACTAACTAGATGCTTAACCAATCAGATACCACATACTACCTCTAACTAGAAACTTTACCAATCAGAAACCACAAGCTTAACTAATCAGAAACCACAAACTAAACTCTAACTAATTGCATAACCAAAAACCACCAACTACCTCTAACTAGAGACTTTACCAACCTGAAACCACCAACCAGACTCTAACTAGATGCTTAACCAATCGGAAACCACCAACTTACCTCTAACTAGAGACTTCACCAACCAGAAACTACTAACTAACCTCTAACTAGATGCTTAACCAATCAGAAAACACCTACTACCTCTAACTAGAGACTTCAATCAGAAACCATCAAATATCCTCTAACTAGGGGGTCTCCACTTTAACCAGTCAAATATTTTCTTTGTTTTGCTTCCTTGAACACCCCACTTTTGGTGAAGCCCTAAGTCCTGGCAGTCTTGTGTTACCCGATTCATGAATTGCCGAATGTTCAAACAAACGCTTTAAAATTTTAACGTGCCTAAGTGTATCTTTTAACATCAAAATCTTTTCCTTTAACTGTTAATGGTTAATATCTAAACTCAGGCCTTTATCATGAATTAAAATTAAAACAGAGACATCCGGTTCCTCCCTGCTCTCCCCAAGAGTAAATCGTGGATGGTTAGCTGAGTACTCCACGGCAAACTGCAAACTGTTCTAAAGCAAAAGTGAAAACGCAAAACAACACCATTCAGTACCAGCAGGGGGGTTCTAGCAGAAATACAGCAGCTTTTCAATATACCAAGGTATAGGTGGAACCATAATGAGACATGACTTCACATCCATTAGGATGGCTATTATATTTTAATTTACAAAGAACAAAATATTAAGTGTGACAGGGATGTGAAGACATTCAAAACCATGTGCACTGCTAGCAGGAATGTAAAATAATGCAGCCAGTAGGAAAAACAGTATGGCAGTTCCTCTAATAATGAAACACAGAATTACCATAGATCCAGCAATTCCACTTCTAGATATAAACCCAAAATAACTGAAAACAGGGTCTTGAAGAGATATTTGTACACCCAAATTCATAGCAGCATTATTCACAGTAACCAAGAAATGCAAGTTACCAAAATTAATGGATAAACAAAATTTGATATACAAATACAATAGCATATTCTTCATCCTTAAAATGGAAGGAAATTCTGGTATATGCTACAACATGGATGAACCTTTTAACTCATTATGCTAAGTGAAACCAACCAATCACAAAGTACAAATACATATAATACAAGTATGATTCCATTTATATAAAATAACTAGACTAGTCATATTCATAGTGACAAAAAGTAGAATGGTGGTTGCCAGATCCTGGGGAAAGAAGTAGAGAGTTATTGTTTAATGGAACAGAGCTTCAGTTTTGCCAAGACACAAAGAATTCTGGAGATGGATGGTGGTGACGTTTATTCCATAAAATGAATATAT